CCCCCCCCCCGCCGTGAGCTCTTTAGTGAGGGAACTGAGCTGACTCTATAAGCCTCATCTCACTTACTCCCTGCAAGTCCATCAGAGGCGCTTCTGCCACCACCAAGTTACATTAGGCGACTGAGTTTCGAGGAGTCAAGAGCTTGTCAAAGCCCACACAGCTGAGAGAGAGAGAGCCAGGTTTCACCCCAACCTGGTGTGACCTTTGAGCTTCTATTAATATCTCTTTTAAGAAAGGCAACACCCACAAAAATCTGTCTGGATGCTTAGAGATATGAGAATGTGTGTATATTTGTTTTGTGTGTCTGTGTGCATGCCTTCCTGTATTCCTGTATGTGTGCATGTGGTGTGTTTTCATGTCTGCTTTGTATGCATGTTTGTAGGTTTCTATATATACAGCAGTGCACCGCATACTTTACAACAAGCCTCTTAAATTTGGCTTTTAAAATGAACTGCAACTCTAAAGAAAATTTGTCCAACATAGAAAAAAGGCCACACCAGTGACGAACCGTGTATATAGAACAGTGTCACCCAGGTTTATGTTACTCGGTGTCGTCATGGCCATCTTTCCTTGTACAGGTGCAGTCTGTGTACTTGCGTGATGATGAACTGTTTACTGTACTCACCACAGTGTTCCCTGGGATTAAGGGACACACAGCTGAACCTGGGTGGTGTGGTGGAATGCTTGTTTACACTGTAAAGATGTGTCTCTGCCTAAGGCACCTTCTGATTAGTTTAATAACGAGCTAAGTGGCCAATAGCTAGGCAGGATCAGGCAGGACATCCGGGCAGAGAGAGGCAGAGGAGGAGGAACCTGGGTGCACAGGAGATAGTGAGGAGAGAATGAAGGGCTGGACGTACATTACAGAGCTGAGGGAACGAGCCACGTGACAACGTAGATTAACAAAGACAGGTTAATTTAACTTACACGAGTTAGTGGACCAGCCTAAACTAATGGCCAAGCTTTCATAATTAATAAGAAGTCTCCGTGTCATTATTTGTGAGCTCAGGATGTATGCGTGCGTCTGTCTACCTGTTTGTTGTCAGTGTCTACATTATTTGATGGGCACCTGTGTTGTTTATGTGTTTGAATGTATTGTGTGTGAGAAAGAACCTCAGTAGAAACCTGTGCTAGACACTTGAACCACATGATACTTAAACATGCAGTTTTTATAAAGCGGCTCTAGGATGTGCTGTGTCATCACCCTGACTAATGGTTTGGGGTCCCAGAGCAGAGCTGGTGGCAGACAAGAACACCATGAAGAAATGGTGCCTCCCTCAAGCAGCCTGTGAACCCCACGGTACACGTGACTCCTGTGGCCTGTGTACCCTACAGTACATGTGACTCCTGTGGACTGTGTACCCCACAGTACATGTGACTCCTGTGGCCTGTGTACCCCACAGTACACGTGACTCCTGTGGCCTGTGTACCCCACAGTACATGTGACTCCTGTGGCCTGTGTACCCCACAGTACACGTGACTTCTGCAGTCCATGTACCATGGGGGACTCCCTTTTCTGGGTTGGGGTTTTCATAGTTTGAGAACTGGTCGTTGTAAAGTCAGTTCAAGTGGGCTATCTCAAGTTTTCTGTTTCTTTTCTATTTTACTTACAGTGAGTGCATCCTTTCTTGGGACTGCGTTAACAAACCTGGTCAGGTCTTTAATAGCAATGGGAAGCTGTGTGGGTCACTACAGTGGTGACCACTACAGGTGAGGGCCTCAAGGGTCCCTTGTGGTTAGGAATTGTCAAGAATCTTCAAGCTAAGAATATTCTTCATTTTCTCAAGCTAGTATATAATTCTGTCACCACTCACCACGGCATGCATGCTTCCATGCGTTTCCTGTGGGGATCATGAGTTGTTCAACATTCTACCAAGGTATTTATGAAGTTGACTCTGAGGGACTCTGAGGCATGCTGGGAGTGGTGGGCTCAGGCATGAGTGAATATTTTATCACTGCAGCGGTTTAACATTGCTGCTGCAGTGATAATAAAAAGCAGGTGAATCTCTAGTTGCTTTTATTGTTGTTTTAAAATTCCTCTTATGCCAGGCATTCCTTTACCACCTCTGTCCAGGCAGACTTCCGCCACATTTCTCCTTACTTGGTACTCCTACAAAACACCGAGCTATGCATAATGTAAATTATGAGGAAACTTCACTATCACCACCACTGAGAAGTCTGGAGTCCAGTGGTTTCTGGCAGCCTAACAGTGGAAGCAAGGACCGAACATCATTGCTGTTCCCTGCTCCCCCACCGTCCCAGGCTACAAAGCTGGTCTCTCGTGGTCCCAGGTAGCATGACACAAGGACAGCACTGGAAGAAGGAATTTCCTCACAGAGCTGCTTTTAAGTTGGGAAGAAATATCCAGAGAGCCACACCAGAAAACATTCCTAAAGTTCTCATTGGTCAGAATTAGTTAGGCCACATGCCATGCATCGATTCAGAGTCTAGCACATGGGCCAATGTGACAAGCCAAATGATTTTGTTTGGGTTACAAATTAAGAATTGTTTTAAACAGAGTCTGGAGGGATGGCTCAGTGGTTATGAGCACTAGTTGATCTTGTAGAGGACCTGGGTTTGGTTCCCAGCAACCACACAGTGGCTCTCAGTCATCTTTAAATCCATTTCTGAAGGATCTGATGCCCTCTTCTGGCCGCTGAGGGCATGAGACCCACCCATGGTAAAATACATGCTTGTAGACAAACATTAGTTCTCATAAAATGGAATTAAAAAAGAATGGTTTTTACACTTTTAAACTGTTGAAAATAATAAAAAGAAAACTAATATTCAGATAATATTTGAAATTTAAATTTCAATGTCCATAAATAAATTGATTATCCTCATATAGCCACACCAGCCATTTAGATATCCATAGGGTTACTCTTGAGCTATAGTAACAGAGACCACTCAGTTGCACACAGAACATGAGACATGAGCAAAATAGAGTTGGGAGGTTCATGGGTGCAAAGTGCCAGGTGCAGCTGGAAGGCATTGCACATCTGGTTGGGGTGGCAGGTACAGCTGGAGGGCATTGCACATGAGGTTGGGGTTGCAGGTGCAGCTGGAAGGCATTGCACATCTGGTTGAGGTGGCAGGTGCAGCTGTAGGGCATTGCACATCTGGTTGAGGTGGCAGGTACAGCTGGAGGGCATTGCACATCTGGTTGGGGTGGCAGGTACAGCTGGAGGGCATTACACATCTGGTTGAGGTGGCAGGTGCAGCTGGAGGGCATTGCACATCTGGTTGGGGTGGCAGGTGCAGCTGGAGGGCATTGCACATCTGGTTAGGTTTTGGGGGGAACTTCAGTGCTAGCAAATGGAAGGAAAGTGAAGAGGTGGTGACTGCTCTGAGCTGCGCCTGGATGAAGATGTGGCATGAGATGAACGCCTGCAATGGTGTGATTGACTTTTGAAATAGACATCGGCTCTGCATCTTAGTTTTTCTTTTCTTTCTTTTTTTGTGGCACATAAGCAAATACTTCAGTCTGGGTAAAGCATAGAAGGTACGAATCTACTTCTCAAAGTTATGTGGGTTGGGGGAACCAAGACCAAGGTACCAACAGCATCGATGGCCAGTGCAGGTTTCCTGTTTCACAGCCTGCTTCCTATTGTCCTGGATCTCTCCAGCCCCTTCAGAAAGGCACTGAGCCCTAAATGAGGGCGAAGATCCTGACAACTCACCTCATCCGCCTTTCGATACTGTTCAATTGGTCACTAGGTTTCAGTAGGTGAATCGGGTGTGGGGAGGGGGATGATGCAGATCATAGCATCTTGTCCTCTAACATTAAGAAGAGATTATAAAGAGACCCCACCAATCTTGATATGGAGTGTCGAAGGTGTAACAGAGCTAAGTGGGCTGGAAGGTGCTGTTTTATTTGTGTTCACAGGGGCTTTTAAAGAATGGAATTACCCATTAAAATAAGAAGGGCAATAAGATATATAGCTTTCTATCTTATTTTGTATAGAAAATATCATATGGCAGTGGGTTAGGACTGATATTTTTAGATTCACAGTCTTTAAAGATTTTTATTAATTTATTTTTGTGTGTGGGTGTTTTGCCTGCATGTGTGTGTAATACACTGTGGAGACCAGAAGAGGGTGATAGATCCCCTGGAATTGGGGTTACAGATGGCGTGAGCCATCATGTAGGTGTGGGGACCAGATGCTAACAAGTGCTCTGGACTGCTGAGCCATATTCTGCAGCCTGAGAGTCCCGAGAGACTCTGTTGACACCAAAGTCGAGTGTGAGTTGCTCTGTCATTGGTGCAGTAATTAGGGAAAACGCTAGTTACTATAATCAACTCTGACATTCTGGTGACTCAGTATCTAATATATAGAAACACACCACCTACCTGTGTGACAGTCCAACATGGGGATCTATGGTGAGCGACAGCCTTCCTCTACAAAGTCATCAGAGCTGGGGCTCACTCTACCTTATGGCTGAGGCACTTGAACTGTGGACCTTCAGGTGCAACTGATGGATGGGGAAGTAGGGGTGAAGGACAGGACTGTAATTGACATGGCTCAGAAGTAACATGCATCACGTCTGCTGCTATTCTGTTGGCAAATCTAGTTAATGGCCCCACTTAGTTTTGAAGGAGACCGAAAGGTTTCTACGCAACCCCTCTCCAGCACCTGTTGTGATATGGAAAGAGAGGCATGGATTTCAGCAGACAGTGGTCATCTTGGGGACAGTCACCCTTTCTCTGCTCTCTTGTTCAAATGTCAGAAGCTTACTTAGAGTTTCCTTATATGTCACTGACTTTACTCACATTACTGAGAAAGTTCTCACAGCCCTTGGGTTTGTACCCCCGAGCTGTGTTGTACATCACTTCGGAGCACTTTGATGACATAAGTGGTCCTGGATGATGTTGTCCTGCTCGCTGGTGCTGACTTCCGGTTGCTTTGTCTGCCTGCATCTTGGCTACTTCTGTGTCTCTACAAGTTTCTCCCTGGCTACACACTAGACTTTATTTCTGTTTTCTTTGTTTTGTTAACAGGCTCCTACAGAATCCATGGCATGCAACACCTAACCACTTAAAATGCTGATGTCCTCTCAAGGTCAGAAAGCTGGGCCAGCACAGCAAGGATGGGCTGTCTCTGCTCCAGGGCAACCCAGGATTCTGCTTGGAGGCTTAACTACCACGATGAATACCTGGAGGATGGATTCTACAGTATTTTCCTCCTCACCTGTGTAAGACAGGACTGTTAGGACTGTTGCTGGGATGCTCCATGGCTACCTCATTTGGTTTGGGCCTTCTCATAGTGGGGCCTTCTTGGGATAGTCAGAAACTTTTGAATGGTGGTCCAGGATTCTGAGGGCAAGGGTTTTGGCTAACAGGCAGAACTTCATCACAATCTCTCATTGTTTGCAATTATGGCGTGTGGATGTTGATCAAAGCAGTCATCAACCTACCTTGCATCAAGAGGCAGAGACCCAAACCCCACTTCTTCATGGGAACGATTTCAAAACAGACAAATTTACAATGTGGACTGGTTATCACTAATCGTCCTCATCCAAACAGCATAAAGCAGCCGTTCAGCTCAAGGAGGAGATTTCATTTCAACTCCAGGTATCTCTAATTTATGATTTCTCTAGTCATTTCTCTGAAGCCAGGGGGAACTAGAGTGAGTAAGGCAAATCCGAATTTCTCAAACCTATGAAGTCCAGCAAGATAGCTTGGTGAGTGAAGGCACTGTCTGCCAGGCCGGATACCCTGAGCTCAGTCCCCGGGACCCGCCAAGTGGAAGGAGAAAAAGGCTCCTGCATTTTGTCCTCTGACCTTCACAAGTATGTTCTTACTCCTCACCCCACACAAATAAACAGAAAATGAAAAAATAAAAATAAAATAAAACCAACTGGGCATAATGGCACACACCTTTAATCCTAGCACTCAGGAGGCAGAGGCAGGTGGATCTCTGTGAGTTCGAGGCCAGCCTGGTCTACATAGTAAGTTCTAGGACAGCTAGGCCTGCCTACACAGAGAAACTGTGTTTCAAAAACTCAAAAATAAACAAATAAAACCTATGAGATAGGCTTCACATGCATGGGGAATACACACACACACACACACACACACACACACACACACACACACACACACACACACACACACACACCACATCTTAGGTAGTCTCCTTTTAAAATTCTTTTTTAGTAGTTTCATAAGACTTTGAGACATTATTGAATCTTCCCTCATCTCTTGCCTTCAACAGCTTCCAAGATGTGTCTGGGTCTCAAGCCACTGTAACCAGCAGGGTGAGACACAGACTTCATGAGCTGTTGGCTAAACTGCGCCTTGCAGCAGGAGGAGGTGAGATGTGCTCATCATTTGATGATGTACTCAGAACTGGACTGTTCCAGTGAGAATTCACAGCCCCATCAAGGTGCTACATGCTGTCTTCCTGGGATTCCCGGAGTCTGTTGGAGGACGATGAAGACGGAGCTGAGGGACTAGGCACAGGGAGCCTGAGCCTAGGAACTGGAGCAAATAAGAAAGTAGGCAAGACTTCCTAGTGGACAGACAGAAGTGCTATAGAATTATATTTTTTTTGGTGGGATTAAGTGATAATCACATTGCACACAAAGTTTAAATCATATAAAAGAGTTCAATATAAAGTATTTACCGCCCCCGCGGCCCCCCCCCTGCCTGCTCTTGCCACCCAATCTCTTTTTTTTTTTTAAGAGACAATAGATAGGAGGTTAATTAGAGGCTTAATTTTCTAAAGACGGTGAGTACAGAATTCCTTGGTCCTTCTCGTCCTAGAAAATGGCTCTTGTCCTTTGGTTTGTTGCTGCTGTGGTATAGACCTCTGGGCTTCATGTAACATGCTTAGACCTCTCCCTCTGAGCTCACTAACTTAGGTGGGACCTTGCGATCCTCGAGCTAAATCAACCGGAATTAATCCATGTAAGTGGACTTCTGACTTTCCATTTATCAGTCTCTTTTGTTAATTACCTTTTGGGCTATTTTTGCAGTTTTAAAAACTGTTACTTTTAGCTGGGTATGGCAGTGCACGCCTTTAATCCCAGCACTTGGGAGGCAGAGGCAGGTGGATCTCTGTGAGTTTGAGGCCAGCCTGGGCTCCAAAATGAGCTCCAGGACAGCTAGGGCTGTTACACAGAGAAGTTCTGTCTTAGAAAAGACAAAACAAAACAAAACAAAACAAAACAAAACAAAACAAAACAAAACAAAACAAAACTGTTACTTTTATGGGCTCAGTGTTAACAACATTTGTTCTCATCTTTATGATATAATTGATTGATTATTTCATGTATAGTTTATATGTCCATACAAGATACCAATATAATAATCCGTATTTATAACTTATATGCAAATAGTACTTACAATTAGCATACTTTCATAATTAGTCCTGAGAGAAGGGAGTATACCCTGGAAAACAACAGTAATTAGTAGATTCTCTCATCTGCTGCTCTGTCAGTTTCTGGTTTTCAAAAATCCCTTGTGTTGTGGAATATTCCTTTACACTGTGTGAAGATATGTCACTGTGCTTGGTTTAATAAAAAGCTAAACAGCCAATAGCTAGGCAGGATTTGGGGGGCAGAGGGAATGCTGGGAAGAAGAAAGTGGAGATGCCATGAGACACAGAGTGAGCAGGATGGGCATGACAGAGATGAGGTAAGTAAACCTTGGGCAGCACATAAATTAGTAGAAATGGGTTAATTTATGTCATAAGAGCTAGCTAAAAACAAGCTATTGCCCGAGCTTTCTTAATTAATGTAAGTCCGTGTCATTATTTATGACCTTTTTTATTAAACCAATAACAGTGATGCATCTTCACAATGTACAGAAAGATTATTCCACAGCAGCCTTGCAGTAAAGAATACATGAGAACGACTGAAAGAAAGTTCCAAGTGGCTCCTTCCCCAAACCATTGCTTGTCCAAGGGAAGCGCACACTTTGAAGGGCTGTCTTTCCAGTCCTCTCCCACAGTTTAACTTAATGGACTCACCTGTTTTATCCTTTCTTTACTAATTGATTTGCTCTCTCATTTGGATACTTTCCCACATCAGCACATAAAGACTGACTTCTTTACAAAGAGTGTACAATTCTTTATACGTTTCTATCATAATGCTTACTTGCTGCTGATTCATGGACATTTGGATTGTTTCTAGTTTTCATTATTACGAGGCTGCCAGAAGCACCCTTGGAATGCTCTGGATGCAGGTGTGTTTTAGTCAAGTAAGTTGAAAGTGAGGCAATTGCTGAAATGCTGGCACATTTAAAATTATGATAGGGCTGATCTCGCTGGTGCCTCTCCCCACTCACAAAGACTTTAAAATGTTTCTTCGTAGAGCCTTCAATATTGAAAATCATTAATATTCCTATTCTTTTTGCCAAGTGGGTGGGCAAAATGGATATATGGCTGTTCATATGCATTTTTATTATTAATAAAGTTCACCATCTTTTTATTGATATTTCACCATCTGTTTGTTGACATTTGGGATTCTGAAAATTATATGTTTAAAGCTTTTGCTCATTTCACTGTTGAAATATGGGCCCCTCATAACTTTGAGGATGCACATATTTCAGATAATAGTTCTCTGTTGAATAATGTATGCTCTCTGCTTCAACACATTAGTGCTCACTTTTGTCTGGATTCTTTCTTACACAGAACTCTGAAGTTTCTGTAGTTGAATCTGTTGTGCTGGTATAAGATGTTAGCGTCTCAGCCTCCCTGTTCATTGCTTCATCTCCTGTTGCTTCCCACTTTTCCTCTTTAACCACTGTCCATTCCTTTATTCAAAACATATTGTAATGCTTGGGGATACCTGGGGCTTTTATTTTTACCCAAGGGTAGTTGGCAAACCTCAGGGCTAATGATTTTGTTTGGTTTTGTTTTTTAATTAAAAGTTTAAGGAGATCTTTTCTAATACAACGACTTTGCTCCCCAGCATCAGAAAGCAGTGGATTCTGGGGCTCTCTTCGAGCTGAGCCTTTACCTACTAATTACTCAGTGCTGTCTGGGGATTAATGTCTTGACCTGGTGACAGAAGTTATTCCATTCTCTAGAGCTCTCTAAGCTCCCGGGCAGTCTGCTTTCCAGCCCACGGAGACCGCATTTTTAATTGTCAACACCAGAGGAGAAGGAAGGATGTAGAAGGGAAGACGCTACCTCTTCTGTGACCCCCAGCACAGGTGTCCTGCACCTCACTGAAAATGGTCCATGAACTCTGGGACAGGAGCCTGGATGGAAGGTGGAAAGCAAACATAATACCTGTTAGATGAATGCCCACCTGCCCTTTCTTCTTGGGCTCCCTTTCTGCATTTCTCCTCCTGGCCCTTCTGTTGGTCCTGTCAAGGGAGGGAGGGAACACACAGATTTACTTCTCTGCCTTTTCCCTAGGCTTCCTTTAGGTCTGTCAGGGACCTCACAGCGACTTCCCATTGTAAAGCATGTTGACAACACAGACTCTGGGTTGAGTCAAACTCATGGATTTCCTTTTCAACCCTTCAGATGTCACCGAGTTTGTGGCTGGTTTCATAAACTTGGTGTCACATTGTAAATTAGACAGCTGTGGAGTGGCCTGGACATCTGCTTGGTTCTGTTAATTCTCTTTACGCCAAAGGAAATTAATTCTAAAGAAGTCGATAAAATGTACACACTGTTGGTAAAGGCCTGTCCCTATCTCGCAGACGGATAGGCAGATGGATCAAAAATACCAAGCTTTTTTGCTTTCTAAAAAAACAAAAACAAAAACAAGCAAACAAAGAAACAAAACCTTTAGCCTCCCCACGCATACTTCTCACAGCTGTGTGGAACTCTGCCTCAAGGATAGCAGAGGAAAGCGGTCAGGAGTGATACTCTGTAACATAAGGGTCTCCACTCACCTCTAGCCATTTAAAGACGTGGGAGCAATGGCGGAAAAGAAGGCACAAGACGCCTGTTGCTGGCACCCATTCCATTGGCGCAGGACCCTGTTTTCTTTTAATACAAATTTGTTTCTCTTTGGTACCAATTGGTGAGTTAGGTTACAAAACTGGTCACAGCCCTCCTTGTGATGGATTATCTTGATTATCAGCCCCACAAGCCTACCGAGAGGGAGTCTCAAATGAAGAAAGAAAAAATAGCATTTTCTTTTTTAATATGTGAAACTTAGATTTGAAATTGTGTGTGTGTGTGTGTGTGTGTGTGTGTGTGTGTGTGTGTGTGTGTGTGTGTGTGTGTGTAGGTGAAAGCAGGAAAGGAATTGTGCAGGAGAGGGGAGGAAGGGTCTTAGGTGGGAGGAAGAGCAGGTAATGGGACACTGAAGTCGTAACAGCAGAAGTGGAGACTGCCTGGGGGAAAAGGAGGAACCAGTCAAGAGAGAGCCAGGGAGTAGGGCGGAGGTCAGCAAGAGACTCAAGGATCAAAAGAAACACAGAAATACAGTGACACATGCGTGTCAAAATGCGGCAGTGAAGCCAATTATGTTGTGTGTTAATTGAAAAAGAATTAAAAGCTTCTCTTCAAAACAGACCTGATCCACACTGTTCCAGGGACCTATCCCTCATGATCCACACTGTTCCAGGGACCTATCCCTCATGATCCACACTGTTCCAGGGACCTATCTCTCATTTGCTTACATCACACAATGCTGTGGTCAGTCACAGACAGCTCTGTATTCTGTACCATGGGCTTCTTGCCAGCTTCAGATTTCAGTGATGTTTTCATCTGCTAGGCTGGGTGGCACATCGCCCAGAACATAGGATTGGGCAGGACATGACTTTATGTTGGTTGTAAAGCAGGAAGCCTCATCATTGGTGGTGGTGATGGCGGTGCTGATGATCACATGGCTACCATCCCAGGAGGACTCTTCCTGATCCTGGTTCTCATGTGTATAGCTGGAATGTCTTTGGCTTAGTGGGGTTTTAAGTGCTGTTAATGGCTATTAACTAGTCTGTGTAGATTGCCACCTGCTCCCTGCCTGGATGCACTCACAGCAGTTAGTCACAGAGAATAACCTCCCAGAGGAATTGGGAATACATAAAAATTAGGGGAGGGCCTTGTCTCCATTTTCTCTGTGATGGCCTTGAGTTCCCAAGTACACACTCATGGGCCATCTGCTTCAAGCCCCGATTGCCCGCCCACTGGCTTCCCCTCCTCCTTGTCCTTCCTCTTCTCACCCATCTCTCTTTCCTCTTTTTACCACAACTGGGGAGGGTACTTACCTGAGAAAAACAATCATTATCAATAAATATTTGTTAAGAGAATTCTCTAGTTATAGTTAAAGAGGCAAAAAAATACAGTCTATCTTACTTTTTTCATACAGAGGAAACCTCCAGGACACAAACTATTAATAATGGTTCAT